GAAGTCGACCGGAAGTGCTTTTATTTAGTGGAATTTGCAAATTGATGACGTTTGCTTTATAAATCAAGATAGACTGCTTTCGCCTAAGCTGCCTTTTTAGGTTAAAACTACTGGTATCAGTATTGGTAGTGCCATTACTGGCCTTGTATTTGCTATCAGATCGATACCAAAATTTGCAGTATTTACTTCACTGGTGCTGCCAGGTGTTCGCAGAGCCGTGGGGTTGTTCAGCAGAGCAGTAAAGCAAAGAGGCTCTGTGACACTAATCATCACCTGAAGCTGTTTATGGTGTTCACATAACTTTGAGGTCAGCAGGTACTGACTCAAAGTTTACTGATTAAATTTATTTTACCTCGGTTGACTGAGAAAGGCTTTTCTCTCCCTTAACAGTGTTCACTGAGGTGTCTCTAAGCAAGGCTCATAAACCCCAGCTCCAGGAGCAGCGTGTCTAGCAACAATAAAAAAAAAAATGGGGGCAATCAGTGAAGACAAGACAGAAATGTGCTTAGCTAACTTTTACCTGGGTAAATTAAAGTCAGTAAAAACATGAAAGAAGAACTTAATGATCCCTATAGGTGTAGTTAGGGGCAAAGAAATGGAAAGAAGAGGTGCAAAAACAGCTTCCATGTTTTACATTATCCAGTACCATGAGAATAGGTTTGGTAGTTACTGCAAATGTCATTGAGCTACCTTACGTGTACAGTTACACAACAATAAAGCCCCTCAGTTCTCTCACTGAAGCCTGATACTGCCTTTAAACTATTGAACATTGTGAAGTATATGGTCTCCTCTGATTTGTGAACATAAAGACAAAGGCATGGAAATGAATCACCCTTCTGCTGCTGAATCATTATCATTATACTGTGAGTCTGCGTCTAACATAAATCTCTCTCTGTTTCTTCCAGTCATGGTGACGACATGATTGTAACACCCTTTGCACAGGTGAGCGGTTGCACCAGTTTTGATGTCTTGACGTCTTACATACTGCCATAATGTGACGTTCAATTCTGTCATGTCCCCCTCAGGTTCTTGCAAGCTTGAGAACTGTACGAAACAACTTTGGTGCATTAACTAACCTGCAACAAGACAGAACATCCAATAAGTAAGTTTGGAAGGCTGCAAAGCTTTACTGAAACAAAACCTTGCTGTAGTGAGAGGACTCTAATAATCAGTGTGACCAGCTTATGATATCTGATCACAGTCACCTTATGGCTGAGTTGTTCTACTCTGCATGTGGCAGTAATTTGTCATTCACATCCAGTGGCGGTCCTAGCCTGTTTGGCGCCCTGGGTGAACACAGATTCACTTTGTGTAGGGTTTATTTCTGGGATTTCGCACAACTCAGGACTCAAATCATAAATACATAATGGGCTTGGATTTACAACACTATGAATGAAATGTGCTCTATTTGGAAGCAGCCGGCCCCTTGTGTGTTTGAGACTTTAAATCATCAAACTGTATAACAGAAATTTAAAATTGTTATTGATCCCTTTACCCCTGGTCCTGAAGTGTATATTTATTTTCTTACTCTTCTTATATTTATTGTTTGTTTACTTGCACTGCTGTAACTGGAGCCTTGTTGTCTCGTCTCTCTATATACTGGACTGTATGTAGCGGAGATGACAGTAAAGTTTACTTTGACTTCAGCAGGCTGTTATCTGGTGTTTTTGTGTTTGTTAGTTAGTTTGTTTTTATTTTGTTTTATTTTGCGAGTTAGTTATTAGATGCTGCTTCAGCCAGCCAGAGAATCCCCCGCCGCCCCGCCCTCTCCTCCCTGTGCCGCACGCAGCAGGCGCACCTTGCAAACGGAGGGCGCCCTTTCTCCCAGCAAATGGGCGATAGAAAACCAATCGGTGCCTGTGCCATTCCTAATATACGCTGGCATGACGTCGGGGCAGCATGAGCACGAGCAATTTTTTATTTATTTTTTTGCCGATACCCGTGATGCTGCCCCCCACCACGATGCTGCCCCGGGCAACTGCCCATGTTGCCCGTATCAAGAACGGGCACATCCTTCACCTGCCTGCACTGTCTCCTGTGCTCACATATAGTCGGGCTTTGCTCGCCCTCTGCTGGATATATTCAGTATTACAACAACAGTGTGACTGTTGTAATAGTCACAAAAAACCAGCAAAAGGAGATTACGTTTCTTTACTTACTGTTATTTTTAAAGTTAATAACCGACTGTTTTGTGTGGCTCTTTGTTTCCCCCATGACAGAAGATCACCCATGTGTAACCCACCACCTATCACCAAGACCACCTTCACAGGTACGTAGACAGAAGAGTGGCATGACTTGATGATCTTTGTCTACTGTGTGTCCTTGTGTGTACGCGTGTGGTTCACATCACTTTGTAAAGCAGTATTTACCTCACTTTGGCACACAGGGATCTCTAGTGTGGAAGCAGATGATAAACAACGCTAGTGAAATACAGATAATAACTTAAAATATGTAATAAATGGCTCATTCATTGTCTAAAAGCTGGTGATCAATTCTGAGTAGAACTAAAAGGAGAGCCTTACCAGAGTAGTCTCATCCATAACTGAAACTTGGGATTAAATAGTTTATAGTAACAAAATGGAAGCGCTATCATTATCATGATGTCTTTTATCAGTTTTAAGATGATAAATATGATAACAATGAAGGGCTGTCAAGCACACAAAAAGTTGTGCAATAATCCCAAACAAACAAATAAACCCATGAGCCACAATATAAATATGAACTGTATATTTCGCAGAGAAGTGGTTCACAGCAACAGTAATTAGACTGTCCGATAGTATGGTGAAGTGTTTGTTTTTATTTGGTAACACGTCTCTATTCTAAGAAGCACTCATGAGGCTGTAGCAACAGACAGATCACTGTTCCCATAACAGATTAATAGGTTGTGTGTGTATATATATATAGTAATACTTGTCTTGGATAACCTAATGTGTTGAACACATTGGACAGATACCCTGTACTGCACAGATTGTCTGGTCTGCTTTAAGTGTTTTTGTTGTGAGGAAGACATGGCACAGACAGTGTTAGCTGGCTAGAATAGACTTGCCCTTGACAGTCACTTTGCTTTTTAGCAGTGTCAATGGCTGTGACCCAGCTTGTGTTTGCAGGAAAGACCAAATAACCTTCACCATTAATAAATAATTTCACTGTGCATTGCTCGGTAAAATGATCATGAGCGCGCGCACACAAACACATGGACATAGTCATGCGTTATAAAAGGACAAAACTATATATTATTCTATATATTTATAATAGTCATTTATTAAGTGAGCCAAATTTTTGCTTACTCTTGTATTTGTGGGCAATCCTTACAGATGTTAAAATCGATATCTCGAGACTTACCAACCTGCTTATATATTAAGAACCGCTGACATCGTGCTATATTTAGAAAATAATCTGGTGCACAGCCCTACCATAAACTGGTGACAGCTGTGAGTCATGAGCATAATTATTTGAGACTATTGACTGATACTTGTAATGCAAAGGCTTATTGAGCCTGCAACAAGTCGCGTTGCAGAGAAAGACAATAAAGGGAGTATAATTAAAATTAAGTCGGTAAATCAGTCAAGGAGAAGATGCTGGTCAATAAAAGTGAGATTGCATGTAGGGCTCTTTGCCCCTTCCTCTGCTTGTCTTTCCATCTTTAGCTTCCTGCCCCTGCTTGCCAGAGCAGTTTTTTTTTCTCCTGTTATCAGAAAGATGCACTAATAGTTCTTTGACCTTTTACCTGTTGTGGATGAGAATAGTTGCTGGTTAAAGTAAAGAGGGAGAGACAGACAACGATTTCAATAATCTAGAACTGGCAAAGTAACAAGGCTAAAAATCAAAGTTTCAAGCAATGCAGGTAATTTGCATAATTTATTCAAACGATTATGGCAGCTTTTTAAACATTTAGGCACTGAGGTGAGTTTAAAGAGATGCACGTGTCACTCGCATTCAGTATTCAACACAGTAGACTTATGTTAGAATTGTGTTTTTGGTTACATTAATTCTTTTTTTCTTTACTGCACACGATGCGGCCAGAAGCTATTTTCAAAGCTGATGCTAAACTCAGTGTCACAAGAGCTGTCCTTCCTCCCGAGCTCTGCGTTCTCCTTCCTTTTCCTCCTTGCTGCTCCTCTTCCTCTCTCCTCTTCTCATCGTCTCCCACTCCAACTTCACCGTCAAGCTGTTCCGGTACATAGTTTGGCTGCAGCCCTGCGTCTGTGCAGCAGAGTGGCCTCTCTGAGCGCCGGTGTCTGATGTCGCACTAAGCATGAGAAGAATGTCATTGACGTCAGTGCAGTTGCTGTCAGAAAGAGTAGCACCCCAGCCACTGACACCACACCAGGGAGAGAGACACCGAGAGAGAAAAGGAGACTGAGGGGAAGCGAAGCGAGAGACAAAAAAAAGGAGCGAGAGAGAGAGAGACAAAGAGGGGAAGGATGATCAGTGGAGAAGTGTGGGAGAGGAAGGGGACTAATGGAAGCAGGATGGGAAAGATTTGTCAAAGACAATGAAGCGGGATAGGGGTTCAGAGTATGAGGTCATAGAAAGGCATTGTTGTGCACAAAACAGACCCATATGGTAACAAAATTAGTGTGCATCTCTTCCAAATATAAAGCATGAGATATTAATAAAATTTACTGATCTTGTCCTACTTGTGCAATTGAGAGCTATGAACTTGAAAACTTAATTGTGCACATTTACATCAGTAAAGCCAATATGAAGACAGAACAGTGTTTCCCAAAGGCTTTAAATGTTTAAATGTAGTCCTCGTGTGTTTTAATCTGCCGCTGCCTTGTCTGTGTAACTGAATTATGGCTTTAGTGACCACACATCACAGATCACATTGCATTAAACCCCTGTGTGCTTTCCGAAATTAGTTAAGGCATCAATATTAATTGGCTTCTGACAAGGTGACATTATCTGCTAACATAGGCTGACTTTGAGAGGGGCATGTCTTTGATCTCAAACGAAAAGAAAAGGATACCGTGACACTGCGATGTCGGGCTCATCACGCTAAACCGCTGCCATCTTCACCATATGGTCTGCCATCTATTTGTTTACCTCTCTCTTTTGGTGTATTTGTATGCTGAGCACATATTGGCATGCATGCACACTCAGTATAGGGAGCTCCCAGCTCTGGCTTCTTACCTCCAGCAGTCCAGTCCATGTTTTGATGATCTCCCTTCCCCATCCACAGTGCGGTCCTCTCAGGCTTTAGGTACAGCTTGGGGAGAGCAGCACGTTTGGCTACCAGGGACGCTGAAGCAACAGCAGCCCACCCCCTATACACACACACACAGCATCCATAGGAAACACTGTCCAGCGTACACACACAGCACTGGATTATACCCTTTGCTTCCCGGATACCATGGATGTTTTCATTGGCAGAGAGGCTATGGAGACAAAATCATGATGTGTTATGGTTAGCATTTTGTCTGGTGTGAGTGTGCATGTGTATGCATGTGTGCGTCTGTTGGTGTCCGTGTATTTGTATGTGTGTGTGTCTGTGAGATGTATTTCTTAACCATGTCAAGATGCTGTGAACGATCTTGTGTTTGTTCCACCCTGGACAATAGTGACATGGATCTTGCCTGGTTCTGAGCCTCTCACTGGATCCTCTTTTCCCTGATCCCCGTCTTCGCTCCATCCCTCCTATGGCAGACATGGGCCTGCTAAGCAGACTGTTGTTCATCTTGCTACATGACTGGAATTATACTTCTCTTATGAATCATACAGTAAACCCTATACACCCAGATCACTGAGTAGAATATGTGTGCTGTGTATGGGTGATAGTGAGGAAGTCTGTTTTTCTGCTGTTGCTCTCTTTGCTCTGTGGTTTACGTCTCTATTCTCTGCCGATGTTTCCTTACTGTTAACGAGCATCTGGACACACTGAATTGACTCGGGGTGGCTGTTTGCCATCCATCTCTCACAGCCATACTCCCAGGGATTGTATCTGACTTAAAAGGAAGAAGCCGGGAACTGTGGGACTGCGGTGAAGGTTTCTTTTCTCCATGGGGAATCAATGAGCTTGGCTACAGCTGACCTCTGCTCATCTGCGGGTTAGGATACGGGACATAAAGGCCCTGCTCCCACGCCCCCCACCCCTACCCCCCTCAGCTGGCTCACCTGTCCAGTATGAAGAGTCACCCATGTGTCTACTCGGGGTATCCCAGCTTAGCTGTTTGTGGGGTGGGAGACCCCGGGCCTGGACCGTCCACTAGCCCTCTGAAGCGGGCCCTTACTGATCCCCTGCCCTCCTGTCTTGCCCCTGCAGAGGAGGCCTACCAGAAACTGGCCACTGAGACCCTGGAGGAGCTGGACTGGTGCCTGGACCAGCTGGAGACGCTGCAGACGAGACACTCAGTCAGTGAGATGGCTTCAAACAAGGTAAGAATAGCTAAAAAGTTGTTGTGTTTTCTTTCTTATTCATGGCAATATGTGTTATAAGTATTGATGATTTCAGATTCATAGTTGCTGTAATGCTCTGTCTCTGTAATGTGGAAGTTGCTTCCTGGGTTTCACTTTAGTTTTTGTCTGCTTTGTTTTAATTTTGTGGCGTTTGAGCAAAATATAGTGTAGTGCTGATGCTGTGTGGGACATGCAGTAAACTGTGTGTGTTAAATTCTACTTGAAGTTGCACTTTTACAAATATTTACAGTATATACAGAGTTTCCTGCAGATTGAAAGTGCTAAGAAGCTAAACTACTAAATGAAGCTTGACTGCTTAACAGAACTGTGTTCAATGTTTAACTTTATATATCTTTTAAAAAGAAATTGTGCAGCACACTTTCATGGGAGTTGTCATGTTGCTAACCCACGCCTGTGTTTTTACATGTCCATCTAAAAGAAAAAGAAATGTAAAATTACAGTCATTTTACTCATCTTATACAAAACTCTTGTATAAATTTAAATGCTGTAATGGCTTGTTTTTTTCTTGGACAAAGCTTATGTCACTTTTAGCACTGCATTAGCAAACTAACAAACAATAGTGAGATCCATTGTATCAAAGGCTGTCGATGTAGTTGATTTTAAACATAATTCCATTGTCTTTAGACCTCCTCATCCCTAATAATGACTCGTTATGAACCCACTGTAAAAGCAGCACTGTAGAAACTTGATTCTTCTACATTTTGTTTGTTTGTGTGTGTGTGGTTGATCTATGTGCTGCTTGATTATGTGGTTTAATGTCTTTCTTAATACTTATCAGTCATTACACCGCACATTGGTCTGTTTATGTTGTATGGTCTATATATGTTAGCAATAGGTAGTTTTGGTATGAGCATGCTCAGTCGCTTCCACTGCGTGTGTGTGTCCGTGTGTGTGAGAGTGTGTGTGTGTGCTGCTCTGAATGCTGATCAGCTCTGGGCTGTGGTGATGTCACACACTGTGATGTCACACGAGGTGGGACGAACCAAGAGGAGAGACAGACAAAGGAATCAAACAAAAAGCACAGGTTCACCTCTGATGTTAGTGCGATCACACACATCACGCTGCACATCTACCTCAATTAAATTAAAAAAAAATCACTTCTTTAAAAAGAGAGAGAGAGAGAGAGGGAGGGAGGGAGGGAGGTAAAAGAAAAACTGTAACATGCTCTCTTTTATCAGCACAGCTATCTTTGGTCGTCATGGCAACAGCCACAGGCTCAGCCGCCCTGCTATCTCACTCCAGCAATGCACACATACACACTCACACACGTACAGACAAAGACATCACATGTAATACAGTCGCTACATCTCCCACACATGGCCATTACTTTATGTTGTGGAGCCCGCAGACTTTAACATCGGTGTTTAAAGGTATCCTCAGCTCATCATCGAGATAAATAAAAGAAACCAAAAAAAAAAAAGATTGAATTCATTTGAGGAAAATGGAATAAAATTACAGAAAAATCACTTCTCCTCTCAATGTTTGGGACCATTGTTAAAACTCACCGCCCATAAAGTACAGTTCCTTGTGGGTTCCCATTCATCATCTCTGCCCTCAAATCAGGTCACAATATATTCTGGTAAAATAATGCACGTCACCTCGGAATATCACTATTCCCAAGGTTACTCTGTTAGGCTTAGAGGCTGCTGTAACAGTAGGTTAGGCAAGGTCAGTTTGCCCTCCAGGACATTCGTACTGCCATTCTACTTAATGCACTTTCACACAGTAGCTAAAAACACACACAGCACACACACCCATTGTACACCAAATGAAACAAGTTGTTTGCAGTTGTAACACCTTCTTTGACATTAAAAGTGCACATGTCTCTGCAACCCAGTATCACGGCAAAACTTGTAATAGAATCGCTGAGCCACTGGCATAGCTTGTCCATTTCAAGCTTTGACTCTTAGACATTATTAACACAGTTACACGGACAGTATGTACATATTAGCCACCTAGCTTAATCGATTCTACTGATTAAGGACCCTGAAATGTACTTGTACATGTTTTTTTACTCACTACTGACTTCTTGGCTCTTTTTAAATTATTATTATTATTATTATTATTATTATTATTATTATTATTATTATTATGCTGGTAATTCAACTTCTGCATGTGTGTCTATTTCACCCTTTTGCAGAGGCAAAGTGTGAAATTGACACACGTCTAACAGACAGCGTGTCTATTAGACGCTTTGACGTGATGTCGTATAGGTCTCTGAGGTGACACTTGTTGGTTCTCTGTGGGTTCAAGTTCAGGATACTCCCGTGGTTAGATATTTTTCCTTTGTGTGTGATTAAGTATTTCTGGGATTCTTTTGCTCTTCTGTAAGATCGATGTGCACTAGTCAAGTCTGATTAGCGTTGGCTGTTTTCTCATTTGAAATATCAGGGTGTCATGCTTGGATGTTCAGGTTTGAAGGTGTCCTTTTTACTAAAGGCAAGAACTCTTTCCCCCTTTTGGACTCCTACTATGGGCAACTCTTGTTACTCTTTTCTGAACTGAGTGGTTTCTTCCAGAACAAAATGACAAGGTGTGAATCAGAAGTTAGTGAGGGTGATCTTTTTGTATACAGCTTACTAGGGCGTCCCTTGGAAAAACCTAGAACCTATTCTGATGGTCGTCAAACAACGTCTTTATTGATGTTTATTGAGGTCTCAAAACTCGTCATTAAGGGTACTGGGGAGGTGATCAAATGTCTTTTTATGTGGGAAGGAGTTAAGACTTGTGTATTTTGGTTGTGTTGTGATCTCATCTGCAGATCTCCTGGCATATGGCAAGTGACTCATTAAAACTTTCTTTCTGTTTTTCTGGCATCACCGTTTTAGTAAGTCTGATTCACTTGCAGTGCGACTGGAGCGACACCTGAACAAGAATCGGGATCGTGTCACTTCTCTTTTTAACCTAAACCTGTAAGGTTGAGCTTCCCTGTATTTTGCAAATCAGCAGCAGCCAGTGGGTGTTGGTGGATATCTTCTGTTTTCATAATGACTCTCTAATTGTTGCAGCAGGTAAAGTAAATACCAAAGTCTGTAATATGGACCTGTGCTAAATGATGCTTTTCCTGTTATATATGTACACTGCTATAGTGGCAGGTGCTGTTATTGAATGTGGCCAAAGTTTCAAATAATGAGGCCAACAGACAATATGTGCAAGTATAACCAGTAACAACTGATTATATCTCCTCCACTTGTTGCAGTGATACTTTTAAATGATTAAAAGTATTATTCTTTTGATATTTCACTATTTTCAAATTAGTGTTTCTTAGTAGGTCATTTCAAGAAAGAGCAAGAGGTTCCTTAGGAAACACCTAGTTTAGCAGCCTCACATCACTGATCTCAGATCTGTGCGAGGAGAGGTTTCTGCTTTTTCTGAATAAGATGTAGCTTCCCTTTAGAATTCCTTTAGTATCAGTATCAAATTCAAAAAAAGAAGTTACATTCACATTTTGAACCTTTTCTGTGCTCAAGTGTTGTTAATGTTTTCCAACAAACTGTCTTGTCCCTAAAAGTTGGATCTAGTTCAGCGAGGAGGGCTTACACGTGCGGTTCAGACTCATTCTTCAGTGGCTGAATTAGTGGCTAGTTCTCTTTGCTTTTGCGTCTTGCTGCTGATCTTAGTTTTCATAGGTATACTTTGTGCTATAAATGGTACATGGACTAGTATTTGTGTGGTACAGCCCTTTTCCTAACAGTCATGCACTATGTATTGGCCCTGTGACACATTTTCACGTGTGGATTGGAGGAGCCGGGGGATCGAACCACCAACCAGTCTTACCATTACCTGTTTGTAGCCTTGCTACATATGGATTTCCTCCTTGGTGTCTTCTGTATGTCATGAATGGGTGACAGACCCATTTCATCTATAACACTGACAACAATTAAAGTGTTCCTGCTCCCTCTGCGGAGAGGGGGCGTCTGCTGCCCGAATAAATGCAGAATGTGAGAAATTGATCTGGAGGTGTTGAGAGCTATATATACACAGCAGGAACAGATATTTTTGGTCACAACACACATCTATGCTCGGTGTGACACTTTCCAATTTTTACCCAATAGTTTGAGTTCACACCTCTTGGCTAAGCTATTGCTTTGTGTGTGTTTGCGTGACAGCGAGTGGGAGTTTGTGTGGACCGGTGAGGTGTAAGTGGGCCTTGTTTAAACTGTCCACCTGAGAGGAGACCATGTGTTGTGCGTGCACACATGTGCGTGTGTGTTGGGCCTGTGCTGGCCTGCTTGGCTGTGAGTCAATCAAAGCGACTGGATCTCAGCGAGCCGGTGGGCTCATCTGCTCCAGTGTAGCTGTAAATTACTCACAGTGCCAAACAGGCTGTGGAAGTGGGGCGTAAAGTAATCAGAGACAGATTTGGTCCCTTTTCAATCAATGTAAACACTCGACACATGCATGCACACATGTGCGTTTACACACACAACATGAAAAAGAAAGAACAGACTCGAAATCTAAAGAAACGCAGGGGCTGTGGATGTTTTGTGTGGGTGTGCGCAAGTTTCAATAACCTGATTGTGGTTCAAATTTTCACTGTTTTTTAGATTCAAATTTTTAAAAAGAAGTTTATATGAACCATATAAAGATCTGGAATAATCTTTTTAACTTTGACAATTGTAATTTTATATTCTGTTTATTAATGCTCATCAGCATTACTAAGGCCTTTCGCAGGCAGCCATTGCAGTGCTTTCGACGTTAGCTATGTTAGCGGCCGACATCATCCCCGACATTTATGCTTGTGTGTCATGGATTACGTGTTAATTACCGTGCGGTTGTGTTCCACTGTTTTACATGTGGTGCCAGCCGATAGAAATAAATAAAATGCTG